GTAGGGGGTGTATCCTTATCTCCTGTATCAAGAAGAGCATAACAGTTTCCTAGTACCATGGTGAGAGGGATGGGAGCAGGGGTGGAGCATTGCCTGTTGTCAGAAGTAACCCGCTGCCAGTGTCCACCTTTAGTCATCTCCTCCTCCACCAGTGGTGTCAGCAGTCTTGTGTCCTGGGACAGCTACCTCAGCTGTCACCACATGAATACTATCCAGGAATTGCTTGTGGGTTCAGTTGCGCCTCAATCTAGCCACCTTCTGTAGCTCTTCCACCAGCTGCCTGAGAGTTTCCACCAGCGGGCACCTTTCACACTGGATGGTCCCCCTAGCCTGGATATCAGTAAGTGGGAATTGCAAGCCACAGTCCCTGCAAAACCACACCAGGATCTGGGTAGAGACATCCATGGTCAGGTGGCCTGTCTGGCTACAAGTGCATATGGAGGAGACAGAAGCAGTGCTGGCACCAGTGTTGCGGGTCTTCTTGACTGTAGTAGGCCTCCATCTTTCAAACGCCCCTGTCTGCTTCGCTCCCCTGGTTGCTCTGCCTCTGGCTTTTAAAGCCTGCTTGCTGAGGTCAGGCCTACCCCCTCCTTTTTGCATATCTGATTAGTGTCCATCAATTCTTTCCCATAGATACTGTCTAGTTTGGCCAATATACGTGGCAGAGGGACATTGCTGGCATTTGATAGCGTAGATCACATTAGTAGATATGCAGTTAAATGAGCCCCTGATGTAGTGGTTGATAAGCTTGGGTCCAGTGATTATATTGCTTGTGTAGATGTTGTTGCACTTCCTTAGACCTGCTGAGGAACAAACCCAGACGGAGGGTGGGCTGAAGCAGTATTGTTTTTGGTGGTGTTTATCGGTACAGATCCTTAAGAGTAAGGTGATTCTCATACGCCCACACAATACATTCAGGCTGGTAGTTTGGAGGCAGGCTGCAAGTGCAGTGTAGATTACTTCTGATTTAGCTGGTGGTTGGAGTGCTGATCAGGCATCAGCTTCCCAGAGACTCAACCGTAATGTCCCTTCAGATCTGCAGGAGGCTTTACTTTCTCTGGGCCGGTCTCAGGTTTCTGCTGTGATGTTACATCTTGTCCCAGAGAGAGAGCGAGCTCTACTGGCCTCTTCTCAGTTAATTTATTTGCTTTCAGGGTTGTTGTTGGCCTTAAAAGTCAGAGATCCTAAACTGCCTTGGATTGGTTATTTCTCACTCACACCTCACATGTATTCCACAGGTTATATACATATTCATAATCAGAAAGGGTGGGAAGGAAGTGGGGCAAGAAAATTTGGATTTGAGGTGATCTTACCTTGCACTTAAATTGGAAAAGTGAACTTGTGCTTAAAAAGGTTGAAGGCCACTGCCATAGAGACTGTCCAGTTTGGCCACTATACATGGCAGAGGGCCATTGCTGGCATTTGACAGACATATATCCACCAACTTATACCAGAAATCTACCAACCACTACACTTACCTTCATGACTCCAGCTTCCATCCAAGTCACATTTCTCAGTTTGTTTATAGCCAAACCCTAAGATACAGCCTGATTTGCTCCAGTCCCATAGACAGACAGACACCTACAGGATCTATATAGAGCATTATTAAAACTGAAATACCCACGCGGAGAAGTGAAAACACAGATCAACAGAACCAGAAGAGTACCCAGACGCGAACTCTTTCAATACCGGCCCAGAAGAAAAAACAGAATTCCACTTGTCATCACCTAGGATGTGTCTAGATTACACGGTTTTGTCGACAAAAGTATACCTGTATCTACACTACCGCCGAGTTCTGTCAACATAACATCTGTATCTGTCGACAAAGCCTCTGTCGACAAAAACCTGTAGTCTAGATGTACCCCTACAGCCCACAACTTAAGCCCCTCTAATGCATTCTCAACAATCTACAACCTGTCCTGGAAAATGACCCCTCGCTTGCACAGGCCTTGGGGGGAAAGGCCAGTCCTTGCCTACAGGCAACCCTCTAAGCTCAAACAAATTATTTCCAGTAACCGCGTAGCACACTTCCATCATAATAATCTGGGAACCCATCCCTGCAAACAGCCCTGGTACCTCTGCTTCACTCCTTCTCTGAAGCCTCACCCTGCTCACTCCATCTCCCTTCATTTCCCATCCTCACTCACTTTCACCAGGCTGGATTAGGGGGTTGGGGTGGGGGGACTGGGGTTGGGCCAAGGGGTTTGGCGTGTGAGAGGGGCTCCAGGCTTATCTTAGGGTGGAGGATTGGGGTCTAGGAAGGGTTTCAGGGTGCAAGCTCTGGAAAGGAGTTTGGGTGCAGTGGGTCTCACATCTGGGGTATAGGAGGAAGTTCAGGGCTGGGACGGGTTCAGGGAGCAGGCTGTATTTGGGCATCATTTAACTGAGATGGCTCATTCCTGCCCTTGCCCTGCACCACTCCTGAATGCAGGTGGCATGTACAGCAATGGCTCCATGGTGCCATGTGCCGCCCCCCATCTACAGGCACTGAGCCCACAGCTTCCACTGGCCACAGTTCCCCATTATTTATCAATGAGAGCAATAGGAGTGGTGTCTGCAGGCAAAGACAGCATGTGAAGAACTAGGAAGGGTTTCAGGGTGCAAGCTCTGGAAAGGAGTTTGGGTGCAGTGGGTCTCACATCTGGGGTATCCAGCCATTTCCAGGAGCAGCAGTTACCATAGGGACAATTACTCCAGCCATGACAGATTAGGCATTTTAGAACTCACTACTCAAATAATTAAATTTAAGCGTAAGAGAGAAATGAAAGTTATGAAATGCACAGACCAGTCAAAAACCAAAATTACTTTTTTTACTACTTACAAAGTGTTAACACCACCACCCATTCCACACGCACATGTGTTGGGTCAGGACATGAGAGTGTACTACAGACACACACACTGACTACGTCTACACCGGCCCCTTTTCCGAAAGGGGCATGCTAATTTTAAACTTCGTAATAGGGAAATCCGCGGGGGATTTAAATATCCCCCGCGGGATTTAAATAAAGATGTCCGCCGCTTTTTTCCGGCTTGTAGAAAAGCCGGAAAAGAGCGTCTAGACTGGCACTCTTATTCAAAGTAGGAATAAGAGATCCTCCGGAATAGGGCTTTATTCCGGAGGATCGGGCCAGTCTAGACGCACTTTTCCGGCTTTTCTACAAGCCGGAAAAAAGCGGCGGACATCTTTATTTAAATCCCGCGGGGGATATTTAAATCCCCCGCGGATTTCCCTATTACGAAGTTTAAAATTAGCATGCCCCTTTCGGAAAAGGGGCCGGTGTAGACGTAGTCTAGATGCTCTTTTCCGGCTTTTCTACAAGCCGGAAAAAAGCGGCGGACATCTTTATTTAAATCCCGCGGGGGATATTTAAATCCCCCGCGGATTTCCCTATTACGAAGTTTAAAATTAGCATGCCCCTTTCGGAAAAGGGGCCGGTGTAGACGTAGCCACTGTGTGTGAGTTACAGATTTGCATTGTCAAACTCCCTCAATCCCCTTCTATCTGTAGGGGGACTGTGTACAGAAGTGGGGGGAGGAGGGACACCCTTACATCAGTGCCCCTTCCTTTTCTCCCCTGCTCCCTGAAGCGGCACAGCAAGCAGGATGCTCCTAGGGGAGCAGCTCCAGGACAGAGGGCAGGAGCAGCATGACAGTGGGTGGAGGGGCAACTGAAAAGCCAACGCTTGACAGCTTCCTGGCCAAACCAGTCAGGATCACCTGTCAGAGGCTCCAAGATCTACTGGTAGATCCCGATCTACTGGTTGGTGACTCCTGTTCTATGGGAAAGAATTAATGTATGCTAATGAGGGGGAAATCTCGCTCCCCTGGGGTACAGAGCCCCCAGAAGGATCCGAGGCCGGAGGTCAAATCAGTGAGGCAGGAGAGAAACCTAGAAGAGAAAACTTTATGATGCATGCATGCAGGCTGTCACACCAAGAGTGAAGCAGCCCTGACAGACAGATTCAGGGAATCTTTATACAGTAAGTTCAGACAACTCAGTTGTGGATTGTTAAACAAAGTCTCAGCAGAAGCACTCTGAGACTTCTGTTCACCCCAGGAGTGCTAGAAGTAAGTTTTTACAGTACACAAAGCCACATGAGAACTTGAGTGGAGGAGTCTACAAGGCAAACTGTGACAAAGATAAGGGTTTCATGACAAATTGTGACAGACTAGGAGTATCCATGAAGTTGAGATAGGAGGCATTGTAAGGGTCTTGATTAGAGCTAATTTGATTTCACTCTGATACACGTAGAGAGGCCTGGAAAACTTTTTAACCCTTACAGCAGTTTTCTTTTAGAGAGTTTTGATTTCCTGCACAGTCCCCCCTTTAGACACAATTGGAGTTATTTGATTTTCCCCACACTAATCAGATATCCGAAAAGGCAACACACAGAAATCAGTTGAAGAACTCTTTAACCTGCCTGGGCACTCATTAGTGGATCTCAAAGTCACTGTGTTGTTTCAGGCCAATTCCACAAGCCAAATACATAGGGAAGGATTGGAGCATAACTTCATTTACAAATTTGGGAGCTATCACAAAGGTATGAATAAAGATATTACCTGACTAGCACTCTACCTTCCACATCCTAAAGACTTAGCCAACCAAACAGTGGGTACTTAGAAAAGGTGTAAATTGTTCTTATTAGCTTCTTGTAACATGAACACTCTAATTCGCTATTTTTTCCTCCTTTCTTTTGCTCCC